ATCATCATACGGGCAGACTCGTAGCGCGAGCAAATCATCATCATCATCATCATCATCATCATCATCATCATCATCATCATCATCATCATCATCATCATCATCATCATCATCATCATCATCATCATCATCATCATCATCATCATCATCATCATCATCATCATCATCATCATCATCGTCATCATCATCATCATTGTCATCATCATCATTATCATCGTCATCATCATTACCTTCTTCTTCTTCTACCTCCTCATCCACCTCCTCCTCTCCTCTTTGTGCTACTCCTCCCACTCACCCCCACATCCTGCTCTTGTCCTTTTCTCTCCACACCTATCTTCCTCCCCTTCCTATTCTACTCTTCCCGCTCCTCCTCACTCCCTCTCCTTCCTCCCTTCTCCTCCCTTCATCTCCTCACGCTGCGAGCAGCCAGCTGGCATACGTACAGACTCAGATCACAGAGGACGTGTGGACGCGAGAAAGCGGGAGCTTCACTACCCTGGAGGCAGACGTGCAGGAGGTGGAGGAGGAAGTGAAGGCGGCTGGTAGCATCCTCGACCACTTGCAGCAGCGCGTGCAGAAGCAGGAGAGCCTGTCGATGGACTTCACGCGCTTGCAGATGAGAAGCAGTGTCAGTCAGTCAGAGGTGGAGAAGTGGAAGAGGGAGGTCGAAGAGCTCGCGGCCTCCGGCCACCTCCGCCACCTCGACAACTCGATAGCGCAGGACCTGACTGAGATGAGCGAGATCAACAATGGGATACTTGTTCCTGGTGAGAACAGGTGTTGGTGGTTGGAATGGAGGAAAACAGGAGGAGGAGGAGGAGGAGGAGGAGGAGGAGGAGGAGGAGGAGGAGGAGGAGGAGGAGGAGGAGGAGGAGGAGGAGGAGGAGGAGGAGGAGGATTGCACGTGCTGATGGGCTCGCAGGAACAAGGGAAGCAGCTTTCTATAGAAGCAACTACAGGGCGGTGAGATTTTGTTGTGCGGATGAGATGGAATGCTATCAAACATGTTTCATGTTGCAGAGAGAAACATGTGTCATGTCGTGCATTTTGTGACGAGCGTCTAGGTTGTACATGGTCTTCAAGACTTGTTGAACAGCAGGTAAGCAGCAGGTAAAGGGCAGACCGTGGAGAAGAATCAAACAAGATGACATGAAGCAGATATTATCATCATAAAGGATTTCAATCTACTTTCTCGAACTCATCATCACTGCTCGAAACTCACTGCTACCTCTTCAGAGCCAAAGATATACAACAATCACACCCTGTCCAACAAAATGCAGCACGAAAAAACTCTAAACTTCATAAACACATTTCAGATCAAAAAATATTTGTTCCCAACCACGATTAACAGCAACCCCCACTCTTGCGACGCCCCTCATGTCCTAAAGTCCTTTCCCTCTCCACCTGACAACCAAACCATCACTCCTTCCAACGCATCTCGATCTCTCACCTTGATCGACGACTTTCCATCTTTCTTCCCCTGTCCCGCTCCTTGCTCCTGAGTCTGGATTCGCCAAGTTCACAATCACAAACATCAGTAAGAACCAATCCATCATCTTCAGCGGACTCGAACAAGCAAGGAGGTCGCCATGCCTCTTACTCCTCCTCCTTGTCATCATCAACTCAATCATCACCATCAAAATTATTATCGTCACCATCATCATTATCATCATCATCATTTCGATCATCATCATATCCACTCCTCATAGATCAACCTTCTTCTTCTGCACAAGTCCCTTTGCCACAGCGCCGAAGAGTTCATCGATACCTTCGACAGACGTCACAGCACGACAACACGCGCCGGTAGCAGGGAGTACCTTTGTTGCTCTTCGCCGAAGTCTCCATACACACTGCCCCGATCGACTTTGCGTACGCCTCCGCCTCCTCCTGTGCCACCCTCCTCTCCTCCACCAGGTCGCACTTGTTGCATGCCAGCGCCAAGAAGATCTCACCCGACGCGTTTCGCTTCAACTCTGCATGGAATGTCATCCACCGCAGCCCTGGCCCAGCCTCACCTTCAACCCATGATCGGACTTTTTCATAGCTGTCTGCGTTCGTGCAATCTAGAACCAAGATCGCAGCTTCCGCTCCTCGGTAGTACATCGGTGCCATGGATCTGAATCGCTCTTGTCCCGCCGTGTCCCAGATCTGCATGGTGAGCCGCATTCCTCCAACATTCATCTTCTTCACCATGAAGCTCGCACCGATCGTGCTCGCTCCATGGGGTACAAACTTTCCCTCGATGAACCTGCGGGCAACTTGTCAAGACATCATCATATCACAGAGTTGAACAATCATCGACAAGAAACAAACAGTTCTGCTCCTCTCAGAGTATAGATCGTCATGCAACCACACCACAGGTGACCATAGAGACATGACTCTTTCTTTGCAACCTTGCAGATGATAAGCTATCGCAACATGCTCTCTTCATGCACAACAAACCATCTTCTCCTCATCTCTTCACCTGTGTACAAGACATGTCTTGCCCACTCCCGTGTCCCCCAGCACCACCACCTTCGCCTGAGCTGCATCGTCCGCCATGCTTGCTGCTACTTCTTCAAAACCAAATGGGTAGATCATGGGGGTTCTTCATGATGGGGTGGTGTTGGAGGCATGTTGATTATGTACCGGTACATTGAGGCTGTAACAATGTGAAATGGACCCCTTCTACTATGACCCCATGATCGCTGTGGTCACCTTATGAATGCCCCGACCACCCCAAACTTGGTTTGTATCTGGGAAAATGCGGAAAATGCTGCTATAACAAGACAAGCGAAGGCGGATGACAGACAAGGCTAGGAGAAGATGAGAGAAGAAGATGAGAGAAGAAGATGAGAGAAGAAGATGAGAGAAGAAGATGAGAGAAGATGGCGAAGGTGTTGATCTCAAGTTGAAAGAGGATGAGGATGATATTGAATTTGTCTACATTGAAGACGTGCAAGAAGACGAGAGCCGGGAGGAGGAACTCCCTCTTCATAACATCGACTTAGTTACCTGCTCATCATGGATCCTGGATCCTGTATGGTTCTTCAAAGGCAATCTCGACCCTTCGAGCCTGAAGCGATCTCTTTCTCGCTTCCTCCGCCTCTTCCCTGCCCTCTCAGGAAGGCTGGGTCCCTCCAGCGTAAAGCTCAGCAACCAAGGAGTTCCTTTCACAACGAGGAGGAGAGCAAGGGGGTCAGGGTACGACTACGTGCAAGAGGAGCCGAGGAGAGGAGAGTTCACGGACGTGCGAGGCTACGAGGGGGTGCTGGCAGGTACCGAGCCGATCATGACCGTCATGGTTACAAACTTCCGAGATTCAACGAGCGCGCTAGGGGTCGCGATCAGCCACGTCATAGGAGACGGCTTCACCCTCTACTCCCTCGTGGCGCTGTGGTGTGACTTGCACAACGACGGGACGTGCAGCGGGGAGTACAGCATGGACAGGACTGAGCTGATCCGACGAACGAACCCGGATGGCAGGAGGGGGACGAGAGCTGCGTTCCCCGCTGACTCTCTGCGAGAAATCCACAACTTTTGCCAGCAGCATGTGGGGGAGAGGAGGAGGATGTTCCGCTTCAGCAGCGAGGAGCTCGCCACCCTCAAGGCATCCGTGCCGTGTGCGGACGGGAGGAGGCCGACGACCAACGAGGCCTTGATAGCCAGAGCATGCAAGCTCTGTGGAGGGAGGGGAGGGAGAAAGGACAACGGGCCGGTTCAGCTGATGATGATCGCAAACCTCCGGGGAAGGAGCGAGACATTCTCCCCAGGCTACCTCGGGAACGCCTGCACCTCCCTGGTCGGCTTCTGTCCTGCTAAACCAAGGACAAGCGAGCTGCGGCAGCTGCTGTCCAGCTTCAAGAATGTGGGCGACCTGGTGAGGGAGAGGCAATCCTGCGATGCTCTCGTCCGCTACTTCGTTGGATGGCTGACTGGGCTGGAGGACGGGCTTGTCCTCCCCGGCCCTGTCGACTACTCGAGGCCTCTGGTTGCAACCAACTGCCAAGTCAGCCTTCCTGCAGAGCGAGTCAGGTGATGGTGAAACTCTGATCCTTTCCTGTTGCCCTGATGTCGCGATAGAGTGCTTTGCTCCTCTCCTCTCCTGCTAATTCCCCCCTCTAGCTTCCTCCAGTGTCCTCTCCTCTTCCGCTTTGTCCCTCCCCTCCTCTCACTCGCCCCCTCCTCTGCTGCGCGCTGCTCGCGTCCTTGGCTTGTATGACGTCGATGTGTTGATTTGACTAGCTCGCAGGCTGCGGGGGATGACTTGTGTGAGGTTTGTGCCGCCTAATCTAGGAGATCAGATCTTGATTGTACCATCCTGCCTATCAGATGGTTCAGTCGACATGTACATCTCATGCCGGCTGTTGGACGTTGAGAATGGGCCGGAAGAGGAGAGGAAGAGGAAGAGGAAGAGGACGAAGAACAGTAGGGAATGCAAGAATGGCTGCCAGGAAGCGGCATCAACAAGATTCAAAGCAAGAATGATGGAGATGAGATGAGTCTGCGATGAAAGGCGGTGTGATAGATATGATGGGAGGTGATAAAGCGAGGCTCTCGATTCTCTTGTTTGTTTTGTACAACATCCCCGTTAAAGTTTTATCTTACTGAAGCCTCACATCCTGCCCTGAAGCAGCTCGTTGAAGCAACTCCTGAAACGGTTGAATAAGATGAAATGCAATTCTCCTCCTCCTCCTCCCCCCC